GAGCCGGAGGGGACAGCTGGACAAGGGAGAGTAATGGTGCTAGGTGCGACAGGTGTGGTGGAGGAGTCTGTTAATGCGACGCGGACAGGCGCAGGAAACGGGGTGAGAGAAGAGTTGTCTCTAAAGAAGCAATGAGACGCGCACGAGTCAAGGACAAAGGAGAGGGGCGCTGCAGGAGGGGCAGGGGAGGAGCCTAGGGGACATGTAGTAGAGGCTCCTAGACTAGACAGAGTGTTGGGACCTAGATTCCTAGGCCCCAAGGCCCCCGCTCCTCTAGAGAAACCACACTGGCCCAGTGGCCGCACCTCCAAAGCCTCCACCTCGCCCAGCACCCCCAAGCCCCCACTGCGGCTGCTGCCCCCGCTGCTGTTGCTACTGTTGCTATGGCAGCAGCGCTGGCTAGAGAGCCCGGAAGCTTACAGCGAGGTCATGGAGCCAAAAGCCAAGGAGGTAACTAGTGTGATCCTCTAGGAGCATGCAGTCCACGTGCGGGCTCACCAGCTGTAGATGGTAAGCGAGAAATTGGAGAGTGGATGGAAGTGCCTAGCGATCTGGCCAAGGGACTGACCCAAACGAGGCCATCATGCCGAGAGGAGAGGCATCGAGGAACTCTAGAAATTAGGAGAAAGACTAGTGGGAGGCACTAGGTGCTACAAGAGCACTAGCGGAGGTAGTAGCAGTAGCGGCTGTGGCCGGAGCAGTGGCAGCGAGCAGGAGGCTAGTAGTAGCAGCGACTAGCGGTAGGCTGACGGTAGCAGAAGCGAGTGACAGTAAGACGGCAGTGGCGCTAGCTGGCGGCGGGCTGGTAGCAAGAGGCAAAAAGCTGGGATCGGTGGACAGCGGCTTGTGAGCGGCTGGCAGGAGGCTAGGAGCTGCAAAGAGGAGTAGGGAGCAAACGAGGAGGAAGTACGCGCAAGAGGAGCTACTAGGAGCAGCACGCCACGGAGCTAGCTAGGAGTCACTAGGACTGGTGGCACAGGGCAAATGACAGTCGTCAAGTCGCAGGGGACTCACGAGGCTGGCGGCCGACTGGCGACTGGCGGCTGGCGGCCGACTGCCGCGGCGGCTGGTGGTTGGCGGCTGGCCGCGAGTGGTGGCAGCTGGCAGCTGACAGCTGGGGTTCGGCGGCTGGTTGCCGGCGGTCGGCTGCTGGTGGCTGGCAACTGGTGCTGGCTGCTGATGGCCAGGCTGGTGGAGGATTAAGCTGATGGTTGGCAACAGCAGTGGCGACAGGAGTGGCAGCGGCGGCTGCAAGGGCAGCGGCGGCAGCAGCAGCTGCAAGGGCAGCGGCGGCAGTGGCGGCTGCAGCTGGCAGTTGCAGCAGCAGCGGCAGTGGCAGCAGTGGCAGGGGCTGCAGCAGCTGCGGCAGTGGCGGCTGCAAGGGCAGCGGCGGCAGTAACGGCCGCAATGGCAGCAGTGGCAGTGGCGGTTGTAAGGGCAGCGGCGGCTGCACGGGCAGTGGCAGTAGTGCCGGCTGCAGCTGGTGGCTGCAGCGGCAGAGGCGGCAGCGGCAGTGGCGGCAGCTGCAGTGGCAGCACCGGCAGTGGCGGTAGCAGCTGCAGGAGTGGTAGCGGCGGCAGCGCAGCTGCAGCGGCAGAGGCAGCAGCGGCAGTGGCGGTAGTGGCTGCAACAGTGGCAGAGGCAGCAGCGCAGCTGCAGCGCCAGAGGTAGCAGTGGCAGTGGCAGTGGCGGTAGTGTGGGTTGCTGCAGCAGCAGTGGCAGCAGTGGCAGTGGCTGCAGTGGCAGCGGCGACTGCGGCAGCGGCAGTGGCTGCAGAAGTTGCAACAATGGCTGCAGCGGTTGCGGCAATGGTTGCAGGGGTTGCGACAGTGGCTTCAGCGGTTGCGGCAGTTGCAGTGGCTGCAGCGGCAGTGGCAGCAGTAGTGGTGGCAGTGGCAGTTGCAGCAGTAGTGGCGGTAGCGGCAGTGGCCCAGGCAGCAGCAGTGGCGGCTGTCTGGCGACTAGCTGGCAGCAGTGGCTGCCGCAGCAGCGAGCTGACCAGTGACAAGCTGGCAGGCGCTGCTGGCGAGTAGCTGGCAACAGGTGCTGGTGGCGAGCTGGCGGCTAGCTGGCTGGCGCTGCTGGCGGCGAGCTGGCTAGAACTGCTGGCGGCGCGCTGGCTAACGGGGCTGGCGAGCTAGCTGGCGCATTGGCTGACGTGCTGGCTAGTGTGCTGGCTGGCGTGCTGGCGAGCACGCTGGCGGGCGTGCTGGCTAGTGTGCTGGCCGGCGTGTTGGCTGGCGTGCTGGCTAGCATGCTGGTTAGCGCGCTGGTTAGCATGCTGGTTAGCACGCTGGTTAGCGTGCTGGCTGGCTTGTCGGCCTGCTGCTGCTGTACGAAACAGCGCGAACACTAGGGGGAAAGGAGTCGAGGCTACGGAGCGCAAAATTGGGGGGCAGGAGGTGTGCGAAATCGAGAGGGGCAGATGCGCGAAGAAAAATAAGCTACAGTAATGGCGGAAGCGTGAGTAATGGCGGAGAAGAAAATATATAACCTAGCTCAATACCATGTTAGAGTAGCGGGAAAAGTGTGACTAGGAAGAGGGGAGGGGAGATACAAGTACAAAAATGTTGTCCCCTCTAAGAACTGACCTAGCTAGGCTATAACAAACATATCTAAACTAACTAGATATGTGTAGACAGAACAATATGTTTGTTGACAACTATGCCGTTGAAACTAGTGTTGACATTTTACCAGATGAAACAGGACGTGGAGAAATGTATGTATGGGCATTGTGAATGTAAGGAAAATCACACCGAGTACAGCCCTGACTTTTGGAAGTCCAGGCTCGGCTCGGAAACTCAAGTCCGAACTATGTTCGAGACCCCCAAGCCTACACGCGGCACCGCGTCCGACACTTTCGAGCCCTGATGTGCCCAAACCACCTCGCGTGTGTTTCGCTGTCCTCATCGAGGCCCCCTTCCTAGGCTAGCTGTGCTTGTATTTGGCTCTGTGCCTCATGTGTACTCGACACACTTTAATCACTACCTCTCTATTGCATTACTCAACTCCTATCCAGAGATTATCATAATAGCTGGTATCAGAGCTACGTTCCTGCCCATTTAGGCTTCCGTAATGAGGTGGTTTTTAGAGGGACCTGGCACGTCAAGAGACAGGAGTTGTCCAGTGGTCGTGCCGGAACATTTTCAGTTCCGCGGACTTTGTCGTGTGCGCTCCACGTCTCTAACAGTGCAGGTGCCCGTAGTGCCTTTAATGGCGTTAGCTAGTTAGGGCAATTCATGGTCAATAGCCATCCTCGCCGTTGTACTAGAAATATGACTCCTTAGCAGATCGTTGAGCTGTCAGAGGCAGCATCGAGTGCGATGGTGCTGACGACGAAGGTCGGCAAAATGATGGCAAAGATGGAGGCCATTTCCCTGGAGCTCGCCATGTCGAAAGAAGAAAACATGAGTCTTCGCCATGCACGTGGTGTGACGCGTCAGGAGTCGCCTATTACAACAGACGAATTTCGTGCGAACGCACATCAAACGCAAGCGACGTCAGCGCCACGTGACGACAACGCAAGCGAGCGACGGATAGTTGTGAATATTAAATCTGCAATGCCCCCGCCGTTCAACCCATTTCGGCAATCGATGTGTCACATTGGTTAAGCCAGTCGACGATCGATTGACCAACACTTATGCGCTTGTCATAAGTACCGATCGCGAGTGCGCCAGATTGTGCAACAGGCTGCGAGTTCGCAAATTCGCTTAGATTCTCGTGAAAATCAAAAGCGGGACAACCCGAGGCGCCTTGACCATCCACCACTCGTACCGCGGACGTTCATTTGGGTTGCCCAATGTGTTGCGAATATCGTTTACTGTGGTGAAAGGTTGGCTGCAAAAGCACTGTCGATTTTGGGGGATCGCGCGCCGCGAGCAAATCGAACCATCGAGAGCGGATCTGTAAAATCGCGCGCCGCGAGCAAATCGGCTATCGCCGCGATCTGTAAAATCGCTTTGCTATATCGATGTAGCCGGCAATCGTCATTATCTATATTGCAAATCGAACTACACCGCCGAACCTTCGTTTTTTTATCAAGGTAACGGGTCCTTAGCAAGAGGCCTGGTGGTGACGCACGAAATAACTGGCTCGGACAATACACAGCACGGGCATGGTTTGGTTACAGTATCACCTCGTATGTCCACGTCAGACAGGCATTCTCTGACGCCATCACACAAGATAAGGTATACGTACACGGCAGACAGCTCAGCGAGTTGCCCATTTCCCAGATGCTTTTTGCTTTTCCTCCATCGCTTCAGGTCAGCACTGCTGAGTCAGCAGCAGAAGCTGCTCCAATACAGAAGAAACACCCCCCATGTACTAGCAAGCAGGTTTTTGGGGGGCGAAAGCAGACAAAACCACAGTTCCTCCGCAATTTCTCGCGCTCTTTCGCGTGTTGTCATAAGGGTGAAGGGTTTTCAGTTATTCCCGGTAGCAGAACGGAAGACTGTTAAAATTCCGCCTGGCAAAATGCGAGTGACGAGTGTTGCAAGTGTTCTCAGTGAAGCTAGTTTCCATTTGCTAAGTGACGGTTCCGTCGCAAACAGATTTCTGCCTGTCCCGGGGTAGGGTCAATCCACCACGGCCCAAACGACTCCGTCCAAATGAGGCAAGGTGGAGCCTTGTCTCACCCTAGGCGTGAAGTTTCCTCCCGTGTCTCGCGCTCGCTTGCACAGTAGATTAAATATCATTTCTCTCGTATTTCCTCAGGCCACGCCCACCGCTGTTGCCTGTCCTAGCCTCCTTCACCGCCTCGTCATCAACCGCATCAGCATGCGCCGCTGCGTTGTCAGAGCCGAGGCAAGCCAAAACCCTTGACTAGGTACAGTAACTACTGTAACTCCAATTCCCTCTGCCTTTCCCCTTCAGCCAAAGCACCCCCTGCCCTTCACATCGCAAGAGTCCTCCCTGCACGTTCTCCCCCCCACCTAGCGCACGCATCGCAGCAGAGAGCTCTTTTCCTGTTCTTGCCCGCACACGCCACGCCGCACGTCGGTCAGGGACTTGCTCAAATGGCACGATAAATTCCAGGGTTGGTCGTTCCTTCGCTAGGTTCGCTTTCGCGCCACGTTTTTGTCCCGCGCCGATTTCTTTCCCGCGCTGGATTGTTCCCCTCTCTCGGGGAATGCTTGTCGCATCAGGCGGCTCAGCTCAGCTGCACCTCAATGATCTTGTTAGTGCAGCTAAGTAGGAGCGGAGAAACGATGAATGCTAGAATATCTATTTTGGCTTCAGAGCCAGTTCTGCTTTTCACAAGCGGGCCTTTTGGCTATATAGCCTCGTCCATCCCTCGCAAGCGGTTCTTTTTGGCCGGGCTCTCGCCGAATTAGAGCACTCGCCGCCGCGTGACAAGGCGAGAGACCTGAGTTGACCCCTCCTTAGTGGTTGCGCACCACACCGCTGTAGTCTGCTCGGAAGATCCCATCTCTGTAGTCATGCAGCCGTTTCTGCCAATTGCATCTTGTGAAATAGTCCGACTCGCACCCGTGTCCCGCCGCACAAAATGCTCGTTCGCGCCTGTGCCCATCCTCGTCCTATTCTCGTCCCATTTTGCGGCGCTGCCTCCTTCGATGGTCCGCTGGCGGCCAACGGTTCTCGTCTGCTCTGCTGGCGAGCCGACAGCGAATTAGGGTTGAGTATTTAGGATGAGTCGGCATCGGGATTCGAGTCGGGTCGGGTCGGGACTCGGGTCGGGTCGTCACCTCACGACGCTTCTTGAGTGGCCATGGCTTTCCCAAACCCGCCTCGCTGGCCACGCAAGCTCCCAACGCGCATTACTGGCAGTGCCGCTCTCGTGCCACCCCCACTCCTTCCGCCTGCAGCCCACTCCTTTCCTTCTCGCCAGCCCACTCCAGCCCACTCCAGCCCACTCCAACCCACTCACGGCCCACTCTGAGCGGAAAGGCTCTCACGAGGCACTTTGAAACCCTTTCTCCTAGGACATAAGCGCGGATGCCGCGCACGATGGTAGTCAAGGGGGTCAAGCGTTTTTTTCTGGAGGGGGACTCTCATTCGCCCGCGGATTCCTCCGCCGGGGGGACGTTGCGCTGAGCTCCCCCCCCGCAGGCCTTCCCACCGCGGCGAGTCTCCCTCTCACGGAGGGGTCCGTGAGGTATTTAATCCCCCTCTCGGCCTCTCCTTCACCACAGCCTTCGCTTTGAGAGCCTCTCAGCCTTTGCACCCTTTCTTGCAAACCACCACAGTACTAGTACTGCACGTGCTCCCCGAGAACTCCGCTGACCCTTACGACTCCAACCACACGCGCACCTAGTTCTGCTGCGGCTCCGTCTCGCTATCTCCTGCTGTTGCTGCTTCTGCTGCTGTCAAGGGGTCATCTCCACGTGATACCTCCGAGGGTACAATCTCAGCTCGTGACGTCATCACCATCGTGCCATCGTCATGGGTCGTCTGGTGCTCGCTGCGGCGCTCGTGGCCCTCGTCCTCTCCGCCTGTGCGACCATGGCTGCCGCCATCCGCCTGCCGTCGACCACGCCCTGCAAATGGGGGCACAACAGGGATGCGTCAGGCAACTGCGCTGGTGGGTGGCCTCTGCTGCTCTACCTGGCGCGCTCTCTTTCATTCTCTCCCCTTGCTGCGTTCTTGCATTCTGTTCAACGTGCTTTCTTATGTGCGCATCATGCCTGTTACGTTCCTCGTAGGGTTTCGCCTTTACTCTCTCTCCTCTCCCCTTCTTTGTTCTGCCTCCATGACTGCCTGCGCCCCCCACGTGCCTGCCTGCACCCTCCACGTGCCTGCCTGCGCCCTCCACGTGCCTGCCTGTACCAGACACCTGCGCAATCCGCAACTGCGGCACCAACTCCAAGTGCCTCAAGGACGAGGCTGGCTGGGCCAACTGCGTGTGCCTCAAGGGCTTCCAGCTGCTGCCCAACGCCTCCTGCGCCCGTGAGTGCCGCAACGCCGCCTGTCCCTTTCCTTGCCTAGCTGCAGCGTGAGGGTTCAGGGTCAAGGGTTTAATATTTAGAGTGTTCCTGCTGGCCCCCTGCCCTGGTTCTTTCCCATTCTTGCCCCCTGGCCCCCTGGCCCTGTGCACATCTCCTATCCACGCCGTTTCACCTCATCGCTGCGCATGTCACCTCATCTCTTTTCCACACCCCATCCCCCGCCTTCCCTTCCCTCTAACCCCGCAGACTCGTGCGCGATCTTGGTGTGTGACCCGCATGCCACGTGCGTGAAGGAGGAGGACTCGTTGGCCAAGTGTGTGTGCAACTGGGGATACGTCATGACCCCCGATGGCGTCTGCATTGGTGAGTGCAGTGCAACTATTGAGTCGACCAGAAAGGAGGACAAGTTGGCGACTCGTGTGTGTGCAACTGGATACACAACATGACCCCTACTCACGTGCCGCTGTGCTGTTGACTGCTGAGTGCTGCTGTGCCGCTGAGCTGTTGAGGTAATGCGTGGTGCTTGAGGTCGCGTGGAAACCAGCTGCTTCCTTTCCATTCTCACCTCCTTGCTCTCTTTCCCCTCGCATAAATTCGTCTTCCTCCCTGCTCCCTCCCCTCCCAGACACGTGCGCGAACAAGGCGTGTGACGGCACGTGCACCAAGGACGCTGCTGGGGCGGCAGTCTGTCATTGCAACAATACCATTGGCCTCGTGCTGCTGGAAGACACCAAGACGTGCAAGGGTAGGTGCCCAATAAGGACTGTGCTGTTGTGCTGTGTGCTGTTGCTGTGTGCTGTTGCTGTGTGCTGTTGCTGTGTGCTGGTTGTGCTGTGTGCTGTTGTGCTGCTCTAGTGTGTGCCCCTGCTGTTTGCTACTGTGCCCCGTACTTAGAGCCGCCTCATGCTTCGCTAATTCTGCGTCCTGCCCTCTCGTCCCTTGCCCAACGCTCGCTGGACCTCCTTTCAGATGCATGTGAGGTCGCGGCCTGTCGCACCAATTTCACGTGTGCCAGAAATCCCGACAATCTGGCCGACGTGAATTGTGAATGCCAGGAGGGATACGCGCTGTCAGGGGACAAATGCATTGGTGCGTCTGTGTGTGGACAAATTCACCCGTGTCACTGTGTGTGCGCGTCTGTGTCTGCTTTTCGTTATTTCATACTTTCCTGTTCTCTGTGCTACCTCGTGTTCACTCTCCCCCCCCCCCCCCCCCTCCTTTTCGTCCTTTCACGTCTCCTCCGCCCGGCCCCTCCCAGACAAGTGCGACATCAAGGGGTGTTTGGGTGGCACGTGCAGCCAGATCGATGGAGAGGCAGTGTGTGACTGCCATGGTGCGACCACTGGCCTCAAGCTGCTGGAGGACACGGTCACGTGCCAAGGTACGTGGGAGTAGGTGAGGTGGGTGCTGATGTGGTGTGTGCTGTTTTGTTTGAAAGATTGTGTGCTGTTGTGCTGCTCTAGTGTGGGCCCGTGCTAGAGCCGCCTCATGCTTCTCTCATTTCGCCGTCTCTTTTCTTGTTTGGTTCTTTCTGGCCCTCCCTTCAGATGCATGTGTGCTCGAGGCGTGTCGCACCAATTTCACGTGTGCCAGGAATGTTGACAATCTGGCCAACGTGCGCTGTGAATGCGAGGACGGATACGCGCTGGCGGAGGACGGCACATGCATTGGTGCGTTCACTTTGTCTCCTTGTACGTGCGTCTCTAACCGTGCAGCTGTAGGTGCTTTTCGTCTTTTTCATGTTCTTTCCATTTCTGCTATGCTAGCTTTTGTTCCCTCCCCCTACACTCGTCCTTGTGCGTCTCCTCCACCCCTCCTAGCTTCTGCGTCACACGGACACGTGCGAGCTGACAGCGTGGGCTGCTGTTGACTCTTGTATCTCCTGTTGACTCCCCTCCGCCCCGCCCTCCCCAGAGAAGTGCGACCTCAAGGGGTGTTTGGGTGGCACGTGCAGCCAGATCGATGGAGAGGCAGTGTGTGACTGCCATGGTGCGACCACTGGCCTCAAACTGCTGGAGGACACGGTCACGTGCCAAGGTACGTGGGAGTAGGTGGGTGCTGATGTGGTGTGTGCTGTTTTGTTTGAAAGATTGTGTGCTGTTGTGCTGCTCTAGCGTGGGCCCGTACTAGAGCCGCCTCATGCTTCTCTCATTTCGCCATCTCTTTTCTTGTTTGGTTCTTTCTGGCCCTCCCTTCAGATGCATGTGTGCTCGAGGCGTGTCGCACCAATTTCACGTGTGCCAGGAATGTTGACAATCTGGCCAACGTGCGCTGTGAATGCGAGGACGGATACGCGCTGGCGGAGGACGGCACATGCATTGGTGCGTTCACTTTGTCTCCTTGTACGTGCGTCTCTGACCGTGCAACTGTAGGTGCTTTCGTCTTTTTCATGTTCTTTCCTTTTCTGCTATGCTAGCTTTTGTTCCCTCCCCCTACACTCGTCCTTGTGCGTCTCCTCCACCCCTCCTAGCTTCTGCGTCACACGGACACGTGCGAGCTGACAGCGTGGGCTGCTGTTGACTCTCGTATCTCCTGTTGACTCCCCTCCGCCCCGCCCTCCCCAGACAAGTGCGACCTCAAGGGGTGTTTGGGTGGCACGTGCAGCCAGATCGATGGAGAGGCAGTGTGTGACTGCCATGGTGCGACCACTGGCCTCAAACTGCTGGAGGACACGGTCACGTGCCAAGGTACGTGGGAGTGGGTGGGTGCTGATGAGGTGTGTGCTGTTGTGTTTGAAAGGTTGTGTGCTGTTGTGCTGCTCTAGTGTGGGCCCATACTTAGAGCCGCCTCATGCTTCTCTAATTCTGCGTTCTGCCCTCTCGTCCCTTGCCCAACGCTCGCTGGACCTCCTTTCAGATGCATGTGAGGTCGCGGCCTGTCGCACCAATTTCACGTGTGCCAGGAATCCGGACAATCTGGCCGACGTGAATTGTGAATGCCAGGAGGGATACGCGCTGTCAGGGGACAAATGCATTGGTGCGTCTGTGTGTGGACAAATTCACCCGTCTCACTGTGTGTGCGCGTCTGTGTCTGCTTTTCGTTATTTCATATACTTTCCTGTTCTCTGTGCTACCTCGTGTTCACTCTCCCCCCCCCCCCCCCCTCTTTTTCGTCCCTTCACGTCTCCTCCGCCCGGCCCCTCCCAGACAAGTGCGACCTCAAGGGGTGTTTGGGTGGCACGTGCAGCCAGATCGATGGAGAGGCAGTGTGTGACTGCCATGGTGCGACCACTGGCCTCAAACTGCTGGAGGACACGGTCACGTGCCAAGGTACGTGGGAGTAGGTGGGTGCTGATGTGGTGTGTGCTGTTTTGTTTGAAAGATTGTGTGCTGTTGTTGTGCTGCACTAGTGTGGGCCCGTGCTAGAGCCGCCTCATGCTTCTCTCATTTCGCCGTCTCTTTTCTTGTTTGGTTCTTTCTGGCCCTCCCTTCAGATGCATGTGTGCTCGAGGCGTGTCGCACCAATTTCACGTGTGCCAGGAATGTTGACAATCTGGCTGACGTGCGCTGTGAATGCGAGGATGGATACGCGCTGGCGGAGGACGGCACATGCATTGGTGCGTTCACCTGTCTCGTTTGCGCCTTCATTTAGTTTCTTTCATATACCCTCTGCCCTGCTACCTCTTGTTTTTTTCCCGCCTCTTGCCCTTCCGTGTCTCCTCCACCCCCCTCCTCACCCGGACACATGTGAGCTGACGGCGTGTGTGGGCAACATGTGCAGCCATGGCGGCATGGAGTGACCGTCTGTAGGCTGTGTCGCTGGGGCTGACTTTAAGTTGCGTTTTGTTGACTCCCCTCCGCCCCTCCCCTCCCAGACAAGTGCGACCTCAAGGGGTGTTTGGGCGGCGGCACGTGCAGCCAGATTGATGGAGTGGCAGTGTGTGACTGTGATATGGAGACCAGTGGCAAAGTGCTGCTGGCAGACACAATCACATGCAAAGGTGTGCTGGAGTGGGTGGGTGCTGGTGGGTGTGACAGGGTGGGTGCCTCGTTCTGCTGGCTCATGCGATTACGTGCAAGAGTGGGTGCTGGATAGGGAGAGTGCTGCGGCATAGGGTGCTAGCGTGACTGCGTCTGTGTGCTTGATTTCTTGTTCAACGCTTCCTCACCCTCCTGGCGCTCATTTCTTGCCCTCTTTGCAGATGCATGTCAGGTGAAGGGCTGTGCTACCCTTGGCGACTTTGGCCAGTGCATCAGGAATCCAATGAATGCATCCGACGTGCGCTGTGCATGCAAGGATGGCTATGTGCTCTCAGGAGGCATATGCGTTGGTACGTTACCAGTCTCGTTCCGAGTGTGCATGTGGGCGTGTTTGTGCTGGATTTCTTGTTGAATGCGTTCTAACCCTGCTGGCTCTCCTCTCTGCCCCTCCTTTCTGCTCGTCCTTTCAGATGCGTGTGAGCTCGAGGCCTGTGCAATCAAAGACATCAAATCCGAGTGCATCAGGAATCCGCTGAATCCGACCGATGTGCACTGTGCATGCGTGGAAGGCTACGTGCTGTCAGGAGGCAAATGCACTGGTACGTTCACTGGTCTCGTTCTGTGCATGCTTGCGTGCTGGATTTCTTGTCCAATACGTTCTGACCTTCCTGCCTCTCCTCTGGTCCTCCTTTCAGATGCGTGTTTGGTGCAGGCCTGTGCTACCAAAGACACCAAGTCCGAGTGTTTAGTGAATCCACAGAATAAGACTGATGTGCACTGCGCATGCCTGAATAACTACGTGCTGTCAGGAGGCGTATGCACTGGTACGTTCACCGGTCTTGCACTCTGTCTGTGTTCCGAGTGCGTCCTTTTGTGTGTCTGCGCTCTTTGGCTGCATTCTCTTTGCCTTTTCAAGCTATACCACTCATCACCTCCCTGCCACCCTTCCTTTCTCGTCTCCCTGACCCCGCTCCTCCTGCAGACACCTGTGCGCTGAAGGGCTGTGTGGGCGGCACGTGCGATCATAACACCGATGGGTCGGCATTCTGTTACTGCAATGCTGATGCTGGCTTCGTGCTGCTGGGCGATAAGTTGACGTGCGAACGTGAGTGGGTATGGTGGGTGCTGGGTATGTGGGTGCTGGGTTCGGTGGGTGCTGGGTATGTGGGTGCTGGGTATGTGGGTGCTGGGTATGGTAGTTGAATCGGGTGTGTGACCCTGCATTCAAAAGCTGTTGTTGGATTTGGTCCAGTATAAATATTTCTATTCTTCTCTCATACTTCATGTTGCCCAATTTCCCTGGCCTTCCTTTCAGACGTGTGCACTATTGCGAATTGCAAAAACAAGGATCCCAACTCTTTTTGCACGTGGACTAAGGCCGGTGGGGCAACGTGTCCTTGCATGCTGGGTTTCAATACCCCAGTAGGTGGTGGCTTGTGCACTGGTACGTTCACCAGTCTGTCTGTGTGCATGTGGGTGCATGGGTTTGCGTGCATGTGCTTCATTCTGAGTGTGTGTAATTTCTTTCCTGTTATTTCGTGATTGTGTGTGCATCTCTCCAACAATTCTCTACCCCATTTGCTTCTCCTCCACCTCTCCCCTCGCCCAGACACCTGCACACTCAAGGGTTGTGGTGCGCACAGCACCTGCAAGCACCGCGACGATGGATCGGCATTCTGCGTTTGTGACACTGGCTATACACTGCAGGAAGATGGCGTGACATGCAAGGGTAGGTGCTTCTCTGTGCATAGCCTTGTACGTGCTGCTGTCTGCTCTGTTTTGTTTTGCATGCTGCAGGCTGTTTGGAGTGCTGTTGTACTGGCTCTAGTGCGTGCCTGTCTTCTGACATCTTTCGCCATATCAAATATTCGCCTCACTTCCCGGTTTCTTTCGTCTTACTCCCAATGCATCTCTCAGTATTCATGCAAGTTGTTTCTAACCGTACCCTCCCCCCATCCCTCAGATAACTGTGCCATCCTGATGGATAAGTCGCCTTGCACCGGTGTCAACGAGCAGTGCGCTAAGAATGCCACGGGGTGGGCCTCCTGCGTGTGCAAGCCTTACTACCACACGTACAAAGGCTATTGTGCCAGTACGTATCCTACAAGCGCTTCCATAGAACGGCCGGATGTACTTTGCTTGTATTACATGTCTCGTTCTCTCCCCCTCGCACAACCCACTCTTTCAAATGGCGTGTGCCAGCCAACATGTACAATATTTTTGTTGTGTGTTTTTCCTGTAACCCCTCCTCCAGATCGCTGCATCGACAAGCCCAAATCGGAGCAGTGCCCTGACAACTCGTACTGCGTGAGGCGGGTGGACGGGATCGCGTTCTGCATTTGCAACGATCCGAAAGATGCCAAGTCCAGTGGAGCCGGTGGCTGTGGCAGTAAGTTGGCCTTCTGTGAATTTCTGCCTCTTGTTTTTCTCAGTCCCTCACTTGATTTACGGGTTTGCAATGATAAAATAGATGTCGAGTCCAGTGGGGCTGTTGGCTGTGGCAGTAAGTTTGCCTAGGTCTTCCCAGAACCTGGCTTTTTCCTGGGTCTTAGTGAACCAACTCCTATTTGGCTCATCCACTCCTCCCCTGCGTGTGTCCGTTGCCTCTCCTTGGTGGTACCTCCCCTCAACAGCGCTGGATGGTTTAGGGACACCGTAAACGCCACATGGACTGGGCCGTAAACTTCGCTGGAAGGTGGAAGCACAGGAGAGTGGGGTGCTGCTGGAAGGTGGAAGCAAAGGAGAGCTGGGGTGCTGCTGGAAGGTGGAAGCAAAGGAGAGCTGGGGTGCTGCTGGAAGGTGCAAGTACGGGGGAGCGTTGACCCCTGATTGGCCTTGTGTGAAATTCGACCTTTTTGTTTTGCTCAGTACCCTTGTTGATTTTTGGGCGTTTCTTTAGTGCCATCAATAGGTGTTCTTGGCAATATGAATATATTGTATCAGTTTGTTTATATGAATAAACCCTAGATACCCCACAAGAAGCAGATTAGTAGCACCCACCGCTGATTCGACAGCCTATCGGGATTTAGGCGGAATAGGGAAATGGTTAGTGGCGCGGCTCGACTTTCCACGACGCCTCTCCCAGTCCCCATTGCCTCTCCTCGTCGCCTCTCCTCTCCATCCACTACATTAGGGAGCTTCGTCGACTCTCCTAGCCTCGTTGCTGAACCTAGCCACGTCGCCGACCCTAGCCTCCTCGCCGAACCTAGCCTCGTCCTTGAACCTAGCCTCGTAGTTGAACCTACCCTCGTCGTTGAACCTAGCCTCGTAGTTGAACCTAGCCTCGTCTGTTCACCTCTCATCTTTACGTCGCCTCTCCTCTCCCCGTCGCCTCCGCTCTGATTTGTCGAGTCCCCTCCCCCCGACACGTCAACTTACCCCTGCCCTCCTATCCGCCCTCGCGTCACCTTCCCCCTGCTCATTCCCATCCGCCATCGCGTCACCTCCCCTCTGCCCATCCGCAACCGCCCTCGAGTCACCTTCCCCCTGCCCATTCGCATCCGCCCTCGCGTCACCTTCCCCCTGCCCATTCGCATCCGCCATCGCGTCACCTCCCCTCTGCCCATTCGCATCCGCCCTCGCGTCACCTCCCCCCTGCCCATTCGCATCCTCCCTCGCGTCACCTCCCCCCTGCCCATTCGCATCCGCCCTCGCGTCACCTCCCCCCTGCCCATTCGTATCCGCCCTCGCGTCACCTCCCCCCTGCCCATTCGCATCCGCCCTCGCGTCACCTCCCCCCTGCCCATTCGCATCCGCCCTCGCGTCACCTTCCCCCTGCCCATTCGCATCCGCCATCGCGTCACCTCCCCTCTGCCCATTCGCATCCGCCCTCGCGTCACCTCCCCCCTGCCCATTCGCATCCGCCCTCGCGTCACCTCCCCCCTGCCCATTCTCATCCGCCCTCGCGTCACCTCCCCCCTGCCCATTCGTATCCGCCCTCGCGTCACCTTCCCCCTGCCCATTCGCATCCGCCCTCGCGTCACCTCCCCCCTGCCCATTCGTATCCGCCATCGCGTCACCTCCCCCCTGCCCATTCGCATCCGCCCTCGCGTCACCTCCCCCCTGCCCATTCGCATCCGCCCTCCCGTCACCTCCCCCCTGCCCATTCGCATCCATCGCAAAAAAGGTGTGCTCGCAAAACGATTGCGTAGCATTCGAGCGAATGCTTTGCAAACGTTTTGCGAACATGTGGGTGAAAATTCATGGCGGACTAAGATCAGAACACTTGGCGAATGCTTGGGCAACATTTCCCGAAACACTTTTTGGTTCACGACAGCGAATGCTTAGAGGTGTCTTTTCGGTAATCTCCGTGGTTCGTTTACAAATGCATGGCGGTGTTCTTTCTACAACTTTTGCAGTAAACATGTAAATGCATAGAGAAGTTTATGCTCACCATTTTTAGTATTCAGCATGATTTGTTGCAAACGTTTGGTGGTGTTTTTCATGGATCCGTTTTTGCAGGCTGCAGTACCCTTTTGGGCATGGTTCAGTACAATTAGGGCATGCCTCGTTTGGATTTACTTATAATGCAACAAGCAAATTATTTGATATATTAAAAAAAACATCTACACCACAGTACACAACCACTATGGCCCAACCGCCCTTGCCTACCAGCACCCCTATGTGGGTCCCGCACTAACACAAAGAGAAACTGAGCGGCGGCACACCAGGAGCAGCAATTCTTGAAACTGGATTCGAATTCCTGCACGTTACGTTCAGAACTTGTTATCTCGAAATTAATCCAAGGTCGAAATCACCAACAATAAGGACAATGCTTACAACAACGAAGTAGCGCGACGCTGGATATTGAGTCCTGCACATTAGGTTCAAACATTGTAATCAAATGATTTATATTCCATACGATAGCAATTACAAGAGCCAGCTTACCGGAGGAAATAGCTCGTGGTAGGCTACAAATTTCTGCACATCATACGAGACATTGTTGTGAAATTAGTCCGACGATCAAATGACCAGCGAGACTTACAATTGGACTTACATGGGGAATTATCTCGATGTTGGACAGAGTTACATAGCTAGCTGCGATAAAGACAAGCATCGTGAGGACACATGCGAATCATTAGTTTGATTGATACGTCAAGTAACAAATGCCTTCATACCCCCATGGCGTGCTGTGTGTGCCCGTATCGTGCGTGCATGGCGCCCTCCACCAGCAGCCCCGCCTGGAATCGCCCCGCCCACCACTCCGACGCCGGGCGACTACCCACCGCTGTCACGCCCGCACTGCTTAGAGAGAGGAGGGGGTGGCAGGGGGCGGAAGCGGGAGGGTGGAGTGACGGTGTGCGCAAGAGTCGGGGAAGATCGCACAAGACATGGAAGAACAGAATGGAGGCTGCACTCCTTGTGGCGGCTGCACTCCTCGTGGTGGCTGCACTCCTCGTGGCCGCCTCACCATGAGGGCCACGCGTGCACAGCACACTCACACGATCACACGTATCAACGTGCGAACGCCACACTCTCCCCCACACTTCCTTGCCCTGTCATGCAGCAGGCCCTTCCCACTGCCCCCCACACTCGCACGTGCCTGCGAATGCCCTCTCATGGGCCTCTCTACTCCAGCAACCCATCCGTGGCACCTGTATGATCCCCCCCTCTCCGCCTGGCCATGACTGTTCACCTGTAGTCGAAGTAACGGTGCAGGGAGGCGAGGGAGGAGGAGAGATGGCGCGAGGAGAGAGACTCGTGGTGCTGCCACAGATGCACCTGATGCCATGCACCCACGCCATGCACCCATGTGATGCCATGCACCCATGTGATGCCATGCACCCATGTGATGCCATGCACCCATGTGCCATGCGCCCATGCCATGCCATGCAGCCATGTGATTCCATGCAGCCATGTGAAAGAAAGAGGTGAGTAAAGGCAAGGAGAGTGGTAGGTCGCATGGAGAGGCGTGGCGTGCAAGAGCCAAAAGGGGGTGGCATGGGCACGCAACAGGCAGAACAGAGGGCACACGGATGGGCTGCCAGGGATGGCTTCACACCGCCATGCATATAGCAAGGCACATGTATGCACCTTGGGTGGCAGGTCGTGCGCATACGCCATGGCGCTCACGTCGTCTGGCAGCGCACCACCCATGGCGCCAGCATGCCCCCCTTCACTGCTCCTCGGGCCTGCTGCTGCTGCGCCCAACCTGCAGCGCACACACGATGGACGGATGGATGGGGCATGCGCGTGAGAAGGGGAGTGCACGAGAGCGGATGCTCTCCATTCCGCTCTGCCCCCTCCACCTTCCCACACACACTACTAGCCATGCCTCTCTGCACGAGTCGCGCTGCACCACTGCTGCGCCAAGCACACACGTGGCAAGCACACACATGGCAAGCACAGCTCCAGGGGCGAGGGGGAGAAAGAGCAGCTGGGACGAGGAAAAAGGGAGAGAGGGCACGAAAGGGGGATCGAGACGGGCATAGACGGAACGAGTACAGGAGAGAGGAAAAGGACAGTGGCGAGAAGCGAAACAAGGGAAGAGATGTTTCACCACCGTGCTCGCATCTGCTGGCGTCCGCGCACCTGGTGGCCGCCTCCATGCGCGCATCTAGGTACTCCGCCAGGCGCCCCGCCTCCCGAAGATACCGCTTCTGCGTGCCGCCTCCTCCCCCTCGCCCCTCCTTACTCTCCCGCCCCCCCAATGGCGCATTAGCTCATGAACATGCAGATAAGAATGACATGGGTGAACAAGACTAGTCACCTACGAGCTGCTTGAAACGATAGACCATCGTGAAACGAGATCCTCAGCATAGGGCACACTAAGAACGACCATGGTAATCGAAGCCTGTGGGAGAGGAAGGAGCTGCTCACTAGGGGGCGCGAAGGCGAGAATGGGAGCTGAAACTGATGCAGATAGAACTGCCGAGGGCTATTATTGTAAGTAACGTCTAGCTGGAAGGCATGAGAGGGCGCAAGGGGGCAAGTAAGGAAGGGATCAGAAGTGTGTGGTGGGCTGGAGTGCTGGCATGTGGGGTGCAGCGTGGTGGGCTGGGTGGTTGGGGCGAGCAGGTGGTTGAGCTGGATTAGCCGCTCTGGAACCACTTGGCAGATTTTGATTGGTTGGACGAGGTGCAGGGGCTGAGTTGGATGAATAAATTTTGTTGGGTTCGGTTGCAGGTGAAGGGTGGGGGCAAAGGGTGTGTGATTGGTCAGCACGTCATTTTGTGAATAGGGGCGTGTTTCTACAGACCCGAATATCAAGCAAATAGGACCTGAAATTTTGGATCCCAGAATCCGCGCGCTCTATAGCACGCTGTAATTTGCGATTCAATTCGGTTCAGTTTGGTATTCACAAATTTCATAAAGCCGTGTTTTGCACCGATTCCGTTGGACTACGCCCTTCTTGGTGGTTGGATGGAGGTGTTGTAGCCAACACTTGTTACTATATATGCTAAGACGTTTTCGATATATCTCAGTGTGTGTCTTGGATTTGTTTAGTAGATTAAATCGCTTTCCATGGGAACTTGACTTTCTGAATGTATCTAGACTAATATGACTTTATGCTAAAGATAAAAAGCTACTCTTGTTGCCAAAATTGGTGCCAAGTTCATGTACTCTTACAGAACGACCGACAAGCCGTTCATAACCTGAAAAGGTCACATATATATGTGGCAGGAAGAATGTAACAAACTTGAGGGAGAGAAATTGCGACCTCAAAATTCAAGTTGGCTTTACAACCCTGGACCAACTCAGTTACAAGGTGTCGTTCACATATGTAGGGTTACATAATTTCCATTTTCTGCAGCCGTCGTAGATGATGCTAGAGAAGAGACATGGTTAGCATTTGCCAATAACGGCTGAATGTCTGAATGCGTGGCCGCACGGAGATCACCCACAGAATGTGGTTTGTTGAGAGATGCACAGGGGAGTGAGTGGATAGGTTTGGGGTGAAGTCTGGCTTTTAACGGAGAGGTTGTCCAAGGTGAGCTTGACTGGCAATCATGTG